TCGCTATTTGCATAATTCAAAAGAGTGTTTTTTTTATTTAACTGTTTTGACCCCTTGCCCCATTTTGAGTAAAATCTCGACTTTACACCTTCTTACTTCCTTCTTAAAGATAGAAGTGATCAGAAAAGCATATTGTGTTCACCTCAGTCACCCTCAGCCACTGTTTATGGCTGAGGTAGATTCATTAAACCGAACAAAATGCACTGTCGATCTATTTTCGTTTCCGATATTCGGAAATCCATGAACTGAAACTGAAACACGATTAAAACTTTCTACTTTTTTATCTGTGGACGGCGGTTCGTCACCATCCATTTTAAATATCCAGATTGAGAGACGAAGTCCAACACGTTATAGAATATATCAATTATGTTGGCCTTGGTCATAATAAAACCTACGACCCATTGATTATTAGCCATATATTAGACCATTAGACCTCTATCTCTTCTTTGGTCTATATATGTCACGAAAAAATAACAATAGTACATAATACTAACTTAAATTCAAACATCATTATAAAGATCGCTATTTATATATCTTTATTTTAAGTTGTAACGTTTTAATTGTGCCACGTGCAGAAAGGCTTCCCTACATATGTTTGTGAGATTAGCACCCCAAATCACTCACCTCTATACACCTTATAAAGAAATACAACTTCAAAACGCCCTCGTTAATCCCAAAAAATATTTTTTTATTTAAATTTCGGAAGGGTTACATAGCATAATGCGGTGTCTATAACATAACGTACACTCGAAACAAATAAATATAATACTTTACTAATAGTCGCGTAAACTATAGACAGTATTAAAATATAATACTTACAATTTATTTAATTGTTATAACATACACTTGAACTATACAATTGTTTTATAAATAAAGAAAATAATGACGTGCCACAGTAACTCAACTTGTCGAGCATGGTAAGGTTAGAGCAGTTATAAGTTCTAGTCCCGAACGAGACAAAATTTTCAAATACTAACTGAAGTAATATTAGGGTTTTTTAAAAGATATTTAGATATTTCTTAGTTCTCTATTCATGCATGCCGATCGTAAGGCTCGAATCTACTGTAATAATTACGTTCCGGATAATAAAAAAAAGATATTTACTTCAATAAGAGGCGAATGTGGACCGAACCTTATACAGCACTTCACTCGACGCCGCCTCAGGGTAAAAACATTAGACGCGCCAAGTGTCCTAAAAGTCCATAAACAGCGAGAAGACCACAAGAGCCCTATCGGAGCCGGATCAAAGTAAAGTGTAAACAATTTTTGAACTCGCGCGTGAGAGAGCACCCTTCATTCGATATTAACAAAATGAAGGGCTTTTTTGTGAAGTATATTGAAGTCTGGCCAGGGTTGTCTGTGTCGGGTAAATTTTGTTATTTCTCTGTGCCCAGCTAACTGTGCCTTTTAGTAGGTTCACTAAAGTAACGACTACTATTTTGACTGGTGGCTATAGAATGGCATATTTACACTGACATTTTATTTTATCAAAATCGGTCAAGCCGATTAGTTGCATAGAGAATAAAGTATAAAAAATATATAAATACAAGTATATCCACAGTAAGAAGTGAGATATTATAGGTTCGGCTTTTATTGGACAACTTAAATACAAAAAAATATATCAATCGATCAAAGTATTTTATGTATTTGCAATCCAGGCAACAATCAAATGTCATTAATTCAACCTTTTTTTTATCTCTATTTATTTAACCTCTATTTTTTACTCGAACTTACTATATTTTTTTGTAACCTAGACTTTTATAAAAACAATTTACGTTCAAATAGGCTGCGAGGGCCGGCCAGTTAGGGAGGTCCTTTAATCGCTAATCAGATACCAATTCGCGATCCCAGACAAGAGATAAGGGGATACTATCGATACCCCTCAACCCCATTACTCTAATCGTTCATCACTTATCCACGGTTACCGGGAACAGGTAATAAACGGCTGCAAACATATCAAAGTTTCAACGGTGCATCCGGGTGGGATGCGGGGTCGTTGACCCGGACAGACGCTGTCTCGCCGTCCGTCTGTCTGTACAAATACATATAAAACTCTACACATAAGATTTATTGATTTTTAATGCTCCTGTCTGAGGGTCTCTTTGTTTTGTAAATTTTAAGGTAGATGCCTTAAGATGGCTCGTACTCCCGTACTCGTTCTCTACTCTAAGCAGTGCTCGCTAAAGTTGTCAATAGCGATCATCTTGTTGAGCGATCATCCTAGAGAAAGTTCCCGACCTTCTATACTTTCTTATTACAACTGTGACCGTTTTATTTTTTTTAGCATAAGATATATTACTTTCGTTCCATGAAGCAGTTTTTCCTTGTATTACTTTACCTTTTTTCTATTTGCATTTTAAACAAAACAATGTAAATATATCGTAAAGTGTTTAAGCAAATATCCTTCTTATTTAAAAACATTTAATAAGTTATTAATTACTGATTACTATCTGTATTCATTCATGTATGCAAAACAACAGCTACGAAAGCTACACAACTCGTAGACCGTCTACGTTATCGCCGACCGCGTAGCGCTACGACACTACGCCGTAGACACTTCGCGTAAATTAGTGGGAAGTAACGGATGAAAATAAATCTTATATGTATTCTAATAAGGTTTATTTTCAATAATCTTTGGTTGTTTGTAAATAATGCAACGCCGGGGGTTACTTTAATTGTATACTCGATAGAAATGTAGTTTCAATGGATCACTGTGTAATGTTGTTTTATTATTAACGAGCTTCAAATTGGATTCGTAGTTGACTTTTACGGTGGGATATTTTAAGCCGTCAATATAAAAGCAAAATAGATATAGATAGAGAGCTGTAGTGATACAATTTATATTGTTCTATAGCAATACATTTTTGTGTATACCTAAAAACATTGTTTTATATTGGTTACTAGCTGACCCGGCAAACGTTGTTTTGCCATAATTATAAATAAGTTCAGGAGAGGAAAAATGATTAAATTACTAAATTGGCTATTACAAAATAAGGGTTGATCGTATAAAGGTGAAAATTGAGGATTGTATGGATTTTTGTATGTTGTATCATAAAAAAATAGATAGTAAAAATTTTGTCTAAAAAAAAATAAAAATTTAGCGCTGGGCTACCCCTAATATTTAGGGGGATGAAAAATAGATGTTGGCCGATTCTCATAGATACCGGATAAGCACAAAATGTTTCATCAAAATCGGTCAAGCCGTTTGGAGGAGTATGGCAACGAAGACTGTGACACGAGAATTTTATATATTAGATAAAAGATATTGTCACTCGAGACTCGGTAGCTCAATTAGTTAGAGCACCAGCACGGAACGCTGTCGGTGCTGGTTCAAGTCATGCCCGAGTCGTATTTTTTTTTTTTCAATTTACCGTTGATTTTTAATTTATATAGTGCCATCATGTGCATAATATGTGAAAAATATTAAAGTTTTGAAGTATAGTAACTAATTGAAATGAAACATTTTTAACGGTTTAAAACGCGAAGTATATTCGATACCTCATTTACAATTTATTTTAACTACCGCCCGACGTTTCGGATGCTTTGCAACAGCCGTGGTCATGGAGGGGCTGTAAATAACCAATAATATTACGCATCTTTTATACTTGAAACTTTGAAAGTGTCTTATTTAAATGTGTACAACTTGCGTATACTTATGACTGAATTATTCAATTGAAGTTGTTTAATAGTAATATAATTGATATCTCAAAATTCCCAACTCAAATAACCTATGCTAATCCAAAGAGAGAAGCATCGCACACAATATGCAGGGACCCACCTATCCGAAACCGCATATAAGCCCCCGCGGGTACATTACAGCCCGTGACAAGTCGCGGATGCAAACATAACCCACCGCACCGTCTAGACGACGCGTAACGCAATAAATCCAGACGTCTGTTAGTCTACTACGCCTGATATGATCTAATGAAATATGGTGTGCCGACCGCAATTGCTTGCAAATTTTAACTCCAGTGGACATAAAAGTCAGAAGGTAATTAGAGTAAATTGTAAATAAGTTAGCTGATATGCTTCGCGTTTTAAACCGTTGAAAGTGTTGTATTTAAATGTGTACTCGCGTAACCTATGGACGATTTTTTTTTCATAGTATTACGTCATATGTTTCAATTATTTTATTTTAAAAATCACTAAACAGAGTAAAAGTGAGTTAAATAATATAATAGATAAGCGATAGAAATAAAAAAAAACGAATTATGAAATATTTAAGTACAGCCTGGATTCAACATAGTTCTTTTTCATATTGCTTGTGATTAAGAAAGATAGATTAATGAAAACGTATTAATGATATTTCAGACCTTAAATTTTAATGTGAATTATTATATTGTCTATTATACCATGTTAAGTTTGTCGTCGATGCGGCCGCAACCACCCCGCGGGCGCGATCGAAATTGGAAAGTTCTTTTGCACATTCTTAGGGTCGTCTAGACCGCTTAAGATTGGGGAGGGTTAAGGCTTTGAACTTTGTAATAGAATTGATTAATTTGTGCCCTTACCGTTGTGGTTTTGGAGGTCGTTCATTTACCCGACTGTGACCGAAGAGTTATGTTTTATCATTTATGTTTCTACAATTTTTTTACGTTAATATTTTTACTAATTGTCTGTACTACTGTCTGTTTACGAAAGTAGTACACATTTAAATAAAACACTCCAAAGGTTTAAATGCGATGTATATTAGGTAAACTTATTCAGACATTATTTTAACTACGGCCTGACGTTTCGCACGTTTTGCAGGAGCTGCAAATTTAAAGGCAAGGCTTCAAATTCTAAAATGAAACCAGAAGGATCTGTTTAAATGTTATTTACATGAAAACTGAAAAAACTAGGCTATTGTTTTCAGGTTCAAATTACTTATTGATATGATTTTTTTTTTCTTATTAATTATTATCTCATGTTTTCTCTTAACCCATTTACAAACAACTGTTGTAAAAAACGTAATACATTTTATTATAAAATATATTTAATCGTACATATATTGTCGACAGGAAAAGAACTCATTCTTGAATTACAACGTGTCCTGCATTCTCACACTACCGCCGTACCAGAGGCAAGGCTACGGGAGGCTCTTGATCGATTTCAGTAAGTTTACAACGATTCTTATTATCAAGGCAAGAACATTTGATTTTAAACGCTTTGTAAGCTTTTATATATTTAAATACCACCTTGACGAGTTAAAACCCACAATATATTAGTTTAACTTATTTTAAAATGATTCTAACTAGGGCCCGACGTTCGGGATGCTTTGCAGTAGCCGTGGTCATGTCGAGATAATATAATTCGCGTTTTAAACCATTAAAGTGTTTTATTTTAATGTGTACTATTCGCTTAAACTACACCTACGTTGGATTGTATAGTTCATGAATGTTATTTTCTATATAGAGTAGTTCTGTATCCGTATGTCTGAGTAATTGTAACTAAAGCTACCTTGTCAGAAAGTTAGGGTTCCGTGAAAGCGGATTGTAAAATATCTTGTTGTTGGTGTTTCTAGAATGTTAATTTGACGAACAAAGCCCATAACATCTAATATGAAACAGTAATTAATAAGTGCCTGCCGTGATTCGCACCTGAACGCCCCCCCACCGGCTGAGCGGTCAACATCGTAAACTCGGTGGGGTTTGTTTTGACCCCCGGCGGGGGTACGTCGCGACGCCGCGGCCATTCACCCCGATCGATGCGCTGCACTATGGATCGGTGGATGTCTACTGTCTAGACTCTAGACGGGGCGCAGGACCTCACGAATAATTGTAGACGCGAGGAATTTCGATGGCCGGCTTCGTTATGCCCGCTGCTTTGTGCCGTCCCGCTCTGGGATAACGGGTTACTGATCTCATTGGAGCATGATTAAACAGCTGAGGCACATAATTGAAAGATGGATAAATTAAGTGGATAAACATTGATTTGAACATTAGTGTTGAAACTAATTTTTGAATGATTTTTCCCATTTTTAAATGTTCTCTTTAGGAACTCTTTTAACACAAAATTAACTTTAAAGGGACGTACGTGCCCTAGTAGTACGTATTAATAAAAAGATATGTTACCTCTATTCAATTGTTCTGTTTAACTAGGTCAATTTATTTTATTTAAAAATCGAAAAGGGGAACTAAACAACAATAATGGTAATACATATTTGACATCACTTGTAAGATATAGCAACAAAAACATCACGAAGCAAAGAGAACAATAGAGAATCAAGAGAGAACTAGAGTAAGAAAATAATATAATTTTAAAGAAGAGATGACGGAAAGAAGAGGATCCCGACAGTGTCATTGTAGAAGTAGCCCGAGTCACATGGAATAGAGTAGAGTAGTTCAGGGCATAGAGTGAAAGCCAAAATCTTCTCTTGGACCACGGGGAAAACACATTTTTGCGTTCGTTTCACTGATCGGTTCTTTTACAGACAAGTAGTTCAGACTTCTGTGCCCTACCGTAACGATTTATTGTTTCCCCGGGATTCCAACCCAGATCCTCTCCCTAACGCAATGCTAGGCAGCCTGTTTAAACGTTTAGCTACTGAGACGGAACAAAGGTGGTTTAGGGCATGGCTGGGAAAGTTGGGAGAGGGGGAGGGGGACCCACGGATCTTGGAAAACTTAACAACACAATACGCATTGACTTATACAAATGTGTATCAAATATACTTCATACTATTATATTTTTATCTTTCACTTTTGCATAACGTTATGTATTTAAACATTTTTCCCAGTTGTAAATACAAATTAAAACTGTGTTACCAGTAAAGGCCTCATTATGTTATATAAGTGTCATGATACAGTTTAAAGTTGAGCTGGCAATATTTCGGTGAAAGGGCTTTTTGTCAATGTGAAAGTGCTTTGCGCTCAACCGCGCGCTGTTTAAGAATTCTTGATTGCCAATGTAATTGCGTGCGATACATGTATTTTAATAACTATTCAATACACTTTCTCTTTGCTTCATAATTTATTAATAATAGTGGTCTGTATAGGCTAGTCACTTAATAACTTAGAAGCTCGATGTAATAAAAGCTTTGTATACTGTAGTTCGAAAGATCTTATTAAGGTTCCTACCTAAACATAAATGAGTATTGTAAAATTATGATAACTAAAACAATTTTAACGGTTAAAAACACGAAATTTATTATGTTAAAGGGTATTATTTAATGTAACTACGGCCCGATGTTCGACATACTAGATGATAATGATCTGACAATTGCCTTCAAAGTATTTCGTTCTCTTTAGTGTTTAAATTGCAAGGTTAGCCCACTATGAGAAAAACAAGCCGATTTGGAAGTAATTACTATAAAATTAGTCTACTGTTAATAGTTTTGACACCATGATTATATAAGTGGTATGTCGTCGTCGGTAAGGAAAACATCTTGAAGAGATCGCGAACTATATTTGACACTAAACACCTGCTAACACACATATCAGTAGTGTGTTAGATTATTGTCTTATTAGAGCTACGCGGTGTAACTATTACAGTTTCTTGTTTTTAAATAAAACACTTGTGATGGTTTAAAACGCGAAATTTATTAATTAAAATGTAGGACCGTGGTTGAAACGGTTTGTCAATAAGTTATACATTTCGCGTATTAAACCGTTAAGAGTATTTTAATTAAATGTGTACTATTCGAGTAAACTATAGGCAATATTAATTATAACCTTACTTACAGGTTACCTCCTAACCAAGGAAGAAGGCAAGGTTGGTTCGCCGGAAACGCCACTATCTGATCTGGGGCTGATCTCATACAGATCGTATTGGAAGGAAGCGATACTCAAACGACTCTGTTCAGCTGCTGGACCCACCCTCAGCATACGAGATCTCAGCAAGGATCTGGCGATTGCATCGTCGGATATCGTCTCTACTTTGCAGGAGAGAGGGCTGATGAAGTACTGGAAGGGGAAGCATATTGTATTGAAGAAGCAGGTTAGTGGCCTTTTGGAAATTGGTCGACGACGCATAATATTTTACCTTCGATCGAGTGATAAAAAAGTCTATCAACAATTTCTTTAATAATACTTCAATTCCAATCAGTAGTTCTTGAGATTAGCGCCTGCAAACAAACTAACTTCTTCAGCTTTATAATATTAGTATAGATGTGATGTGTGAAAAGAAGCACAAATGGTTTATCGACACGGATTTACAAATGCATGTGTGCACACAGGAGGTGCTGGAGGAGGCAACTCGGCGCGCTGGTCGCGTACGCTCAGTGGAACCGACCTGCCTGCGGTGGTGGGGAGGTCCGGCACCACGCTGACACCGCGCCCCCTGCGCGCCTCGCGCCGTCCGCGCCCGTCGCAACATGCGTCCGTCGAGCAGCGTTGCTCGATCGCTACTCTAGTTGCCATGGTATTGTATGTACGTAAGGCTATTCGCCTCAGTGACCCTAATAGACAGAATTAGAGATGATTTTGACGTATACAATGTGCTCCTGAAAGGTAGCTTCACTTTTGGAAAGAATGACGCAATGACATCAAATTCCATTTCCACAAACTAAATTTACTTAAATCATTTAGGTACAATGTAAATAGTCTAAGACAGTTTTTAAAGTTATCTGCGATATAATAGATATATTATTAGAATTTTGACGAGTATATGACGCGAAATATAGTATGTAATAATTGACGAGAAAAGTTCTTATAGAATCGCCATTATAAATCCAATAAATAAAATCAATATTAATAAAGAACTGTGTAAATTATAATATAATTTTGACATTGCATAAAACAAATGTGGCGTATCCATTTGATATTATACTGCTTGTTAGCAGAGAAAATGCACATGACTCGTTGTTAAGTCTCTATAATCCCATTTTATTTTATCATTAAGACAGTGATTTTAGCGTTATTAATACTTATAATGATATGTATAAATTAAGTAGGTATTTTGTAAAAATATGTCTAAATTATAAAGTACAAATCCTACAATTATGACAAAAACTGTGTATGTAGTGCATTGTATTATTTTATACATTTTCTATTTGGGTATAAATAAAATTAGGTTAGATCAATATTAGCACAATTTGTATATAGATGCTTTGATTTCTATAAGAATGAAATGAAATATAATGTAAAATTTATATTTAAAATATGTATGGCCGCTTTTATTTTACCGGGTTTTTAATTTTGCTTTTGTGATAAGTAGATAACATAACTCCCAATGTACTCCTAAAATTTCCAAATTGTCACTTAATAATGAAATTGTTAATTTGCATAAATATAACTAACCTTTTTTTGATACCAACGAACTGTACCTGAAGTTTATGTCATCAAACCTTTGTTATCAGATTTTTTTTATACAAGCTAATTTACAACTATAAGTGTAAATTGTAAACAGTTATTTGCAGTCACGTCAACTTAGGAATGTCTCTTGCTAAGTTACAATTAGAAAATAGTTGGTATTAGTTGGGAATTTAAGCTTGTCTCATTGCGGTATAATGTAAGACAATTATTATTTTATTGATGATAATAAATTATTTTTACTCAACAAAGTGTTTTTATTTTGCGTATTTCTTACAAATGTATCTATGTATGATTTTACTCACAAATATTGCTTTTTGACGCAGAAATTTTTGAACGGATTTGAATGTACATTGACATATATTTATTTCATCAGAATACACGAAACAAATAAATATTAAATTGCTTTTATGGTCTTACATCAAGCGACAATTGAAAACTGAACAAAATAAGTATCAGTAAAACACAGTTCTTTCAAATGAAGGAATCATTCTTGGAATATCTATATTTTTCTTCAAATCTTTTTTTAGCCCTTTTTAAGGGCTATAGGTTTTGGGTCTGAGTCTTCGCTTGGTCGGGCAAAGCATACGACGGCGACGACGAAACAGTTTGAAATGCCAAGTAGTATGATAACTACTGTGGGTTCAAAATCCTCCCATGCCATCGAATTCCCTAAATGTCAAATACAATATTTTATTGTTATTAAGTGGCAAGTACTGACACTGACAAAGCTAGGTTTTATACAGTAGTTCAGTAAAGAAATACTGTATCGCATTCCTTCAATGTTCTATTTATTGAGAAAAGCGTTAAATATGTAAAATGTGAAAACTACACGCAATCGCGTGATGGAAATAGCACACTTGTACGGGAAAAACAATTCCGATTGAGAAATTAATTAAATATTTCTATGCTGTTGCGAGTTCCTTCGAAGTCATAGTAGGTAAGGTGTTATGCGTTCTGCGTAAATATTTTTAGATTATACGCCATTGGCTTTAGTCGCTAAAAGGTGATTTGTTTTATGAGTTAAACAAATCGCCTTTTAACGGCTAAAAATACAATAATAATGAACTTTTTGAAAACTTTACTATTTTCACATATGAATTTAAAATCTATTTTAGATTTAAATTGATTGAATAGAAAATAATTTAATAAAATATAATATTAGGCCGCTAGTAGCAGAGTAGCCTAACTGCAATTTTATGACTTGATTTATTTATATTATTATATTCTAAAAATGTTGTAGATTACAAGAGCACAGTGAGCGAAAATCGTTAACCTATTTCTTACGTACAAATTTATTTTCGTCTGAGTTAATTATGCATTTTTATTTTCCTCCTTATTGAAAATCATGTCTTTTGCTAATAGGTCACTGTGACTTTAGCAGCCTCATATACAATAAACTTTTTTTTAATAATAATATATTTATGCCAAACTCATTTCATTGTTTATTTTAAAACATTATCTATCTATATATATCATTATTATTTAGGAGAAATCTTGCTCTAATTCTCAGGTTCGAAGCATCTAATATGAATCACTAATGTATTACTGAAAAACTATCTGTCTGCAAAACATTATCTTCTTTAAAAATTACGTTACTGTTTACGTACGTGAACTATAAACAAAGCACAAAAAGCGACATTACCTAATAAGTACAACAAATCAAAACAAAAATCATTGATGCGATATCTATAAGTATGCTGCAGTGCAATGGGAAAGTTGGGATTTTTAATGGAAACTCACATTAAGTATTGTTGGGAATTCGTTAAGCTTAAGAAGTTCTTAGGTTAAAACGTCTATTATTTCAGTGAGCAGTATATTTTTGCTTGTTAATAACATCGCTATGTGTAAAGACTCAAAAATGTGTCCAAAACCCTTATGCAGGGGCCAGAGACTGATCATTAAGTTTTTATTAGGAGAAACTAATTAAAACGCAAACAGTCGTTTTAAATTTTCTCTTGTAAACTGTTTACTTACCCCTGCTCAAACCATTTGGCGAAATGAATAACTTCTTACTTTAACAGTAACATGCACGCGCAGCATTGAAAAACAAGTAAATACGTAGTTATACAGCGTAGCCAACGTTTTTGCCTGATTATGGAATTCATAATTTCACTATGTTAAATGTTAACTTCTTTAATATGTTACCTTTCATGCGTAAAAACTAATAACAGTTGTGTTTTTAAAAAGTTTTACAGTTTAGTTTTCTTTTTTGCTGTAACTCATTATTGTTTTTCTAACTTTAACAAAAGATTATAAACATTTTTAGCGGGTAAAAACGCAAAACATAATAATTAAATTTCTTTTGAACTACGACCCGACACGACCGACGTTTTGATGTTATTGCATTTAATTGTGTTCCACCCGTGTTACTTATTTTGACACACGTGGGTTTTAACAGGGGTCATAGTCGTTCGTATCTTGTAATGCAAAAATAGCGATGCGTTACTTCTACGAGTTCAAAATTCAAACCCAACAACTTTGGCTTAACATGCAATACGATCATCGCGAAACTATTAATATCATTCGTGATTTATAGATTGTCCGTAATATATCTCTACAAGTATACTAGTTTTTTTTTTAACTTAGGTTAACTTACGTTGAGAGATGGGGTCTAATCACTCACTGCGAGCGGCGAAACGGGGATCAAGGAGACGACGCTATGCGCACCTCCAAGATCCTCCCTAATCTCGCTTTCGCCTTGACTGAAATGGGCATTGGTGCTGGGAGCTTTGGAGTTGTACAAATGTGTTCCCAGGTTCTCTCGAAAGCACCGTAGCGGGCTGGTGGTGTGTTTAGTGGTCATGGTCGGCTATTGTCAGCGAGGAGGTTGTACTACGATTTACCACGCTCCCCATGTCACTATTGCCCGACGTGGACGTGTATTAGGCATTCACACCATCAGTAAAAAAAAGGTTAACTTACGTTAAATCACTGCAAGAAATGACGTCACGTACTTTCACATAAAGACACGCCATATTGTGGATGTGAAGAAAACCGCTTCATAATTCACTTATGACACACGCACAATGTACATGATTGTACAGTAGGCACACGTTCTCGTCATATATTTATCCTTCTTACTTTGTCATAAGCTCTTGAGAACGATCAACTGTTGGAACAGAAGTCTGCCACTATACGTAATAAAGTAGATTGGTGGATAACACAAATAATCATTGATTATTATGTTTTTCATCGCATAGTATTGCGTGTGGGTACAAAGTTGTTTTTTAAAGAGAATCGAACCATTCTACCAACCTAATGATATGGAAACCTCTCCAATTGGTTTGGTTTTGATGTTTTATGAGTATGAACTTTATACTTACACAACTATACATAAAAGTTTCGAATTAGATTCTGTAAAACTTCGTAAAACAGTCTCTTCAAAATACTGTCTATAGTTTACGCGAGTAGTACACATTTAAATAAAACACTAACGGTTTAAAACGCGATATATTAGTTAAACTTATTTGAAAATGATTTTTACGGTCTCCCCGTGACCACGGCTGCTGCAAAGCATCCGAAACGTCAGGCCGTGGTTAAAAATCATTTTCAAATAAGTTTAATTAATGTATCGAGTTTTAAACCGTTAAAGTGTTTTATTAAATGTAAAAACGTAAACTATAGACAGTATCTTGAAGAGACTGTTATTTATACGAAGTTTTAAAGAATCTAATTCAAAGCGTTTTAAACCGTTAAAGTGTTTTATTTAAAAGTCTCTTCAAAATGCGTGTTAATTCTTATTTAAACTTATATAGCTATAAAGTTATTACTACTATACTTTTTAAGTAGCCTATTTAATAATACTTTTTACTTTATATATTTAATGTGAACATGGCAAAGTCGTGGGAAGAAGAATGTAAAATCGTCCCTCAAGTGGGACGCAATCTCACTTGTTCCATTAGTTCTGAAATTTTCTTTCATGTTAATTGAATGAGTATTGAAAAACGAACCGATATTCTCTTCTACTCCGCCCAAAACTTGCTCGTGAACCGAACATCCAGTCATCCACTTTGGGTAATTTTGCTGCAAATGGGCACGTCAAGGCCACGAATGACGTCAGCTTAATGTAACGTAATGACTCGGTAATCGCAACGCCGAGGTCGTCATAGCGAAATGACCGATAAGCTGTCTCGATAAATAATTTTTCATAACATATTCGGATATTTGCTAATTGCCTACTCTCAAAACGCGCTTGTGATAATTTGCGTTAAGGCTTGGACGGGCTCGCAGAGTATGGCTCACCGTGACCACGGCTACTGCAAAGCATACGAAACGTTCTGCCGTAGTTAAAATAAATTGTAAGTTTAACTTATATATTTTGCGTTCACAACCGTCAAAGTGTTTTATTAAATGGTATGACTAATAGAGTCGTGAGTACGAATCCGGGTTCAAAATATTTATAGACCTCGTCTGGAAAATCTACATTAAATGCTCAACCCGGTAGCTCAATTGGCAACAGTGAGGAACGCAGAGAATGCCTGTTCCAGTCCTGCTCGAGTCGTAATTTTTTCGATATATAATCGATTTTTAATTTATAGTGCTATCATGTGTGCTTTATGTAAAAAAATCTCAAAGTTCTCAAATCTATATAAAGTTGGAGGTAGGAATCGAAATGTCCCGTTCATGACCCACTAGATTTTTAAATATCTAATCGACAGTACATCTAGGTAAATGGTATATGGATTACCTTTCAATACGAGAACCCGATGTGTATATTTCTCGGTGATAAAAAAATATATATAGAAATTAGAAGTATGTGGACAGTATGGCAAAAAGAGCTGATAGAACAAACTCTTATGAAGAACGTGCGTGAAACAGAATCACTCAACGCACTGTCTGTTTAGACGGGGGCCGAGAACACATTATTTAGTCTATAACTTGACCTCACTCAGAATCCAATGAAACATGTAACTTTCTTTTTTAAATGTAACCTATATTACATTAGACTCTTAATTTACTCTACTTTGTAGTGTTACAAACTATTGCAAATTGTGAGAAGGAAATCCCGTTTCCACCGGTGCTCATGAGGTTGTGTATCACTAATCATTTCTTAAACAGACAAGTATCAATTTTCAGTGCCCTGCCTAACTGAAACAATCTATTGTTTCCTTGCGATTTGAACCCACAACGTTTCGCGTTTAACGCAGTGTAGGGCAATACGTTTAAACGTTTGGCTACAGAGGCGATCGACGACACAAATAAAATGTTATATTCGTAATTGCTACCAAGTAAACAATCTCATCAAAGCCAAAAATCATATTTATTCATGTGGGTAACACAGGTACAATTATGAACGCCACACCAGTTAAAAATGTAAGTATCTAAATTCACATTTACTACCAGTTCTCAAATCAAGGGCGTAAAATGAACGAGAAGTACTAGCAAGAAACTCCTATACTTACGTATCTACATAGTTTTTTCTTGTTAGAGCGGGTTCCTCCATTCCTGAAGCATTTTTGTCATTTAAATATTGATTAATGCTTTCTAAGAGGTTTTGTTTTACTTACTATTAAACTTCATTATTGAGAGAGCTGACTTTACTGTAGATTTTATAAGATGTACTCTTAGTTCAGTCATACAGATTTTCCTAAAACTGAGTGACTAAAAACTCCCATAGCGTCAGAGCTAAAATAAGAACGATAAATCGCGAAGATAAAAAGCTAGTCTAAACAAATGAATGAAAATAAGTTCTCTAAGGTCGCGAGGAGGTTCAAGAGACAATGGCCCTCAAGGGCGGATTGCCGACCTCTCGGGGCGAAGGGCGGTTACTGGCCTTGGGCCTAGGTGACATTAAACTTGGCTGAAGACGTGGCTATAAGTATGGTGGCGGACACATTTTGAGGTTTAATTCTGCGTCAGACACGCTGACGGCTGGAGTTCTGTGATTCGGGGATACGGTATCGCGATACTGTGGTCATGATAGTGTTTGGCGATAAGGATGTTCGGACCTTTGTGTTGTATGGTGCAAGTCTTTTATGAGGTACCCGACGTGGAAACAACAATCAGGAGTTATGTAATTTGAGAAAGCGAATACACATTTGTGGTATGGTATTTATTTAATTCTAACTAAACAATACTGTTTTTAGTTTACGTGAGTAGTACTAATAGTAGTGACCACGGCTGCTGCAAAGCATTCGAAACGTCGGGCGGTACTAAATTAGTCAAATAAGTTTAAGAATAATATTTCGCGTTTTAAATCATTGAATTTTTTTATTTAACTTAGATTTACTGTCGATCTGTAATTTAATATGTATTGCGGATCGTTGCTCGGGCTGCCTTGGGTGCGCTAACGAAACTTATCCTTTACAGGACTCAAATGCAAATCCCATTTATCCACCTCAGAATTACCTTAAACTTTTAAAAAGCCGGGATTTCAAATAATAATATCTCAAGTATTAAGCATTAAGCTATAGGATTGTCTTAGGGTATCTATTTATTTATTAAAGCTTACTAAAGTTTAGTTATAAGTCAAATATTTACCTAATCTAAATTAACTTCTATTAACTAAATTAATTTCAATGAGGCCTGGCGTTTAATGGAGGTGGTTGACATATGTTTCTAGCTTGTAAATAGTTTCATATTTAAGTAAAAAATCGTAATAAAGATGCTGCACAGTTTTTTACTTTTATTTATTTTAAATTTAATCAACAAGTTTTATACTTGCAAACAATTGCATAATTTAAAATGCTATTAATTCTTTATTTGTATTCTATTTCACTAATCTGTATTCTATTTTGTATAGTTTAAGCAATTTAAACGAAATAATATTAGTATACCTAATAGTATATAGTTTAATAATTATCAGACCGACTTAATACTTGATGAGATAGATGTTGCTTTGCGCTTAACGAGAGGTCCTAGCTTTGAATACCGAGGAAAAATAAATTGTCACGACTTGGCAGGCCGCAAAAGTTTAAATTAGTTCCCAGGATACCTCATTGGACAAAGAAATGTGTTCGCAGCATGCCCATAAAGAGAAATCAATATTTCACTTTTAGGAACACGCACATTTAGGAAGGAATAGCGAAAAAAGGGGTGACAGCGCATCTTGTTAAGAGTTTATATGGCCGGGCCATTTTACCTTCGGTCTAATGAAAAGCTTTATCTTGAATGTCCCCCTCCCCCTATTTCATAAAAAATATGGCTCCTTAAACAGAGTGATGTTAGATATTTGCTCTTGTTTACTGATTATAAGTAAAATCATTGCATCCTAGTTTAACGTACTGAGTACTTATTTCTTCTCCAAGTTATTTAGCCATCTGACTTTCTAATACTTAATAGAAAAAGTTATATGGAAAGCCAACGAAGCAAGGCAAAATGAATTTAAACACAAAAAGCGCATTAAAATCCCGGAAAAGATAGTTTTTTATTGTAAATGATATTCATCCATTTGATTACCGTAAGTAGGGTTATCTGTTATTTCTATTTGCCGGAGATTGAGAAATTTTAAGTTGAAAAATAAAACTGAAAAAGGGCAGACTTCAAACAATAAAAGAAAAGACGAAAAAAAAAGGTTTAGTAAACATTTTAAAGTATTTAAATATATGTACTTTATAAATTTACGATCTGTTATTACTACAAAACTTTGCATTAGAGGGAATTATGATTGGGTCCTTGTATTGGAAGAGTTGTTTTTGCAGAAATTTGTAGTATATACTTCATTCTATCTTTTTTCACTAGGCTTTCGTCAAATTAATTGTGTGCACTTAAGACTGATTTTTTAAAAGAAATAATCACATTGATTGTAGGTTAGCGGTAGTAACTAGATTTCCCCTAAATTAAAAGATGACTAATATATTCCGATATCAAAATTTCTCAAAAATTGACATTTTATAAATAAAACACTTTAATGATTTAAAACGTGATATATATTAATTAAACTTATTTGAATGCCTCGCCGTGACCACGGCTGCTGCAAAGCATCCGAAACGTCGGGCTGTAATTAAAATAATTTTCAAATATACTATCGCATAAACTACAGACAGTATTTAATATCATTATTTTTTTGGTAACATCTGGTCGAAATTATAATCTGTATCCTGGTATCCCCGATCAAAACGTCAGTCGTAAGTGCGCGTGTCGGAGCGCGACGAGGCATCAGTAATCGGTTCGGGGATCAATTAAGCGGACAATCTTCATTGGTGATTCAGAGTACGCGACGCAAATAGACCGCAGTCAGAAGCAATACCTAACGGCCGTGGAGACTGGAGAAATCTCATTTTATTTGTCTTGCTTTGAATGCTCTTTGTTTGCTGTTATGACTTAGCGATTCGTAAATAGAATTAACCGTTTTTAATTTGACTTACGAGGTTTGAATTTATGAAGTGGCAACACCATTCTATTTTTATACTGTTAATAAAATTATAGATAACTACAAACGTTATAGAATAAAAATGAATGAAATAGCCTTTATTGTTGGAAAGGTTAAGGAAATTGATTGGATGCGATAATCCTCAAAAATAAAGAGGACACGAATCGCTGAACATTTTGTTTTCTGATAAGATATGTTGAAGACTTGGAATTTTTATTTTTTTGGTTTTCAGCGATAAAAATACGATAAATTGTAAAATGGCTTATTTGGAAGTTACAAATTTACTATAGAAAAGTAAACAAACATGTACGTTAGATATATTTATTTATATACATGTAAGGAAACAGTAGTTTTCCTAAATACAAAAAAAGAGTGTGTCCATCAAATTTAACTGGGCTTAGTTTAATAATTAAAAGTTAGTGTTCACGAGTAAATAAAATACTACCAAAGGTTCTAATTTCAAAATATACTAACAAAAAACGTCGGGTCCTGGTTAAAAATAAGTTCAGTTGTTTAAATCTTTTAAATTGTAACAAAGTGCTTTTTCATTCGACGGTTATTTATTTAATTGAGTAGAGTTTTTCAGTTATAACCACAATAACTTCAATGAGGTCCTTCTTTTTCGGTTCCTTTTCCCTTAGGTCAGCTAAAAGGTACGTTGTATTATTTGGTTTTATTACGAGATATACAAATCACGATATATACACGTATAGTATTTATCGTTATAGGATGAAACTACAAGACAAGGATTTTTGAGAAAGTGTTTTTAATATTATCTTGTAACTTCCTGTTTCAATATTGTTTTAACAAGAGTTTTCAAAATTTTTAGAACTATTCACTACTCTCTTAATACCAGAAAAATGCTGTTCTTATTTTGTCTTTATTTTTTCGTTCGCGTAAATTTTAATGATAACCAGTTTATTTACTTAATTCATTTATTGTACTACACAGTAACCCTCAGCTTGTATCTATTAAATGGAGGTAGACCAAAAGATTGCTGGTGCAGTTATCTTTGCTAATAGAAGTTAAAGTATTATGTTACTATTTAGGTGATAATTATGTTTATTTAAGCTGGCTTCTAACTGAGATGAGAAATAAGCATAAGGTCAAGAATCTGAGTAAGTTGTGCTTTGGATATTCGGGAAAAACAGTACCGTAATGACATTAGATGTGCCTTAAATCAGTGAGCAGGTGTAAATCGCTATAGTCTGTAGCGAGTGTGAGACTAAGATGTGATCTGTGGCGCACGACCGACGACAAATTCGCGAGGAGGCTTCCGCGGGTGGGGTCGGTGACCTCCTCCCGCGCGGAGCCGGGTGCGGGCGCGCCAATGTCAGGGCCGGTGCAGCGGTCAGCTGACGTCTGGCGACGCGCGGGGGACGCGCGCCCGGCTCCTAGTTGCAGTCGGGTCTCGCACTCCCTCGGAGGCGCACGTCCCTCCGAACGCGCCGCGCTATTTATAGAAACGAGCGTCGACGCCGCGCGCTACTCCGGCGCCGGGGCTGTCATCACGAGTCAGGTACCTGAAGTAGCGCGCGGTGTTTCCCTCTGCCTTCGAACCCCGGACCGAGATTTGCGACGCCCGCCGCACGCCCATTGTACTTCATCAGGTGCTCTGGTGATAATGGTTCCAGGCGCTTGTTGGAGTACACTTACCGTGTTGGCGGTTTTCTTCGGGAGCACGTGGTAAGGTAAGAGCGGTGAGTCACCGGTTGACGACCTGCACCCCCGTGCGGCCGCACCACTTTTCGCCAACATCTCGCATTGGTCATCGAACCTCTGAACAAAGGCAGCCCAAACTGGTTTCGACGTTTCGGACGCCGACGCCGTTTTCCTGTATTCTTATGATGTCGCGTGCGCATGTGATTCGTTTTCAGGATGCGCGGAACAAGGTATACCTTCCATTGTGGTTCTATCTGTCGCGAATTGCTTAACGTGATTGCCGCATGACAAAAACGCCAAGGTGAATTGACGCTTGTGAAAAGATTGAAATGTCTGCGAATTTCGAGTCGCGGCGACAATGGCCGTACAGTTTATTGGTTTTATTAATTGTGAGGCAATTTTAAATGTCACCCGACGAAATGTCGTCCTCTTTATCGATAAATAATTCACGAGTGATATTGATAGTTGCGTAGATGAATTTACCCTCTACACACGTCGAGATAATAATAAGAAATGCAAAGAGGCAAAGTACGCACGGTCGCGGGTGCATGACTCACAGGAATGTCTAATAGTCGAAGTGGACGAAGAATGCTTTTTGTAGGATTCAATTTGAAGTGAAAATAAACTAGACGCGTTTATTTAACGATAATGAATTCGGAATAGAGCTTTTACATGTGCAGTGTAAGAAAACGCTAAGAATTTACGAAAATGGTTATGAATCTCCCTGAACTCTTCTGAAAGGTCCAACTCGCAACTTCTGATAAGATCTACAGAATTATTTGCGAAACAAGTAGTAGGGCGTCTTAGAGTGATAACTTTGCCTATTTGAAAATCATAGATTTAAAAATAGACAGACAAGAAGCTTGGATCAATTGTATTAGAATCGAATTGAATTGAAGAACAATCCTGATGAGATTCTTGTCTATTTCATCGTATTTAAATACACGTTTCATTGGCCATTGGCAAAAACATACCAAGCTGAACTTCCAAGAACCCAAATCAAAGATTAAATAGTCAGATATCTTAGAACTAATATAGGAACGTTGACTCGATACTGAGTCATTGGGTGAACGGTCTAGACCTTTGAAGACTTCGATTTCTACATAGGCTGACGCAGATGTAGCGAGAACTTTCGGTCGCGCAAATAATATTTCTCGGAACTCTGAACAAAAAGTGGTACGCAAAGACACAAAGGACAATGGGTTAAAATAAACATTGGAGTTTCGTATTAAAAACACGCGCGAGATTTTATCGTAGTTGATCATTATCTGTGTTCACGCCTCGCCGTACTGCTAAGCCTCTTTCGGTGTCTTGAATATTTCTGTCATCGTCAAGATATGCTATAGACAATACATTAATTTGGACCTTTTGCTTAAGTCAAATTTTAGTTCCTCAATGTATTTTACATAAGAAAGTTGTTTTACAACTTCAATTGCGACTCGTATTATCGACAACTATACAAACGTTGGATTAACTAACAAATCTATTAACGAATTTACAAATCATAGATTTTCTTGATAATCGCATTAATTTCAAATAAACCTGCGATTAAATTAAACAATATCCTGGTCTCAATATACGATAAGTTCGTTAAAAAATGTTACATATTTACAACCAATGGTAGAAATGGCAGAGAAAAGACAAGCATGAGATCGGATTAAATTAAATATAAAAAACCTCTTAAAGATTTATAATTGCAATAATCGCTGTTAAACTATTTTAGCTTTGGTAATCCACTGACAGAAACTGCATACTTCGAAATTTTTCATCTGTGGATGATGATTCCTACTGTCTAGTTAATATACATGAATGTCAGTTTCACAAAATGATTTACAAACATGCTCAACGCATGTATAGAAATATACCATATGACATGATTTAATACAATAATGATCCTCCTAATTACATGATTATTCAGTCACTGCGTGTAATAGTATGTTTTTATTATACTCTGTTACATAAAATTACAATTTCCTTGGAAAGTGGATATCTAAGCTATTAATCGTCAATACATTACCACGCCTTGGCGCTTTTAAGTGGGCTTTTTTTAAATATCTATTTAAAAATTAATGTTTTTTTTAAGCCATCGGCTAAAATGTGTCTGTTTTAAGAAAATATTGAATTGTGGTTACTTAGAATTAGTACGCTACATTCAAGGAAAATGGTTAATTAACCATAGACAATTAACGTTTATCTATATACAAACAGTGTGCACGTATGTCGGTAGCATAATTATATTTCTACTAATAATGTGAAGCGTTCGTAAAAGAGTTCGTTAATTTGTCTGTTTGTTTTAAAATGAAGACCTAATTCAAATTCGATTTTTTTATCAATAGGAGCAAAAAATGAAAAATGTGGAAAATTATTCAACTTTGAGGGTTTTTTAAATGATTTTAAAAAAATATCGCGACAGAATATATCTAAGATATTTTATAGATAGATTAAGGTTAACACTTACAGGAATCGTTTTATGGTAATGGAATTTGCTCAATATTTGGCTTTATTACCAATTATTTGTTAAAGTTGTACAAAACACAATAATATTTCTGATTAGAATGGGTACGCATCCCGCGTTAAAAGGAATCTTTAAGTTGCTTTGACATACAAAATATATATTATATCTTCCAGCAAATTAAATGTATTTTAGTGACACAGTATTATGTTTATTTCGAGAAGCCTACGTCAATAACTGGGACAAATAGAGCCTAGTAACAGTGTAACAAATTCTGGGAGTTTCGGACGCCCCCGGCCCGTCTGACCTTCTATCCTACAAGGACTTGAGGAAGGTCGGGAGCTAGACGTAGGGCGCTCCCCTTAGCGCGAGGGTGAAGGGAATTTTTGTAACCTCGGCATGCCCTTAGGGACGTTGGAAGGCTCTACACAATTATAGCTTCGCTCAGGTTATTTTAATTTAGCCAAATGCAATGGAAATTTAAAAATTGTACTTTTTATTTATTATATTTTTAAAAAAATAAACTTATAACTTCTAATAACTATAGTTTTTATTAGAAGTATAGTTTTAATTTTAATTAGAACTATTAATAACTAAAATTTAGCTGGGTACTCATTTAAATGAAACACTTTTATCGGTTTAAAACTATAGTTTTAATTAGAAGCATAGTTTTAATTTTAATTAGAACTATAGTTTTAATTAGACTGAAAATTAATTTTTGTATACATTCAAAAATAATTTTAGTGGCAAAAATATTTTAGTATTCCTGTGTCTATATATCTATTGACTTTTATGTTTAAAACTATAGTTTTAATTAGAAGTATAGTTTTAATTTTAATTAGAACTATAGTTTTAATTAGACTGAAAATTATTTTTGAATGTATACATTCAAAAATAATTTTCAGTGGCAAAAATATTTTAATATTGCCTGTGGTCTATCCAAGTAGTACTCCTTTAAATGAAACACTTTTAACGGTTTAAATTGCGAAATAAGTTTGTTGACTTATTTATAATATAATAATTTAGCCCCCCCGTGACCACGGTTGGTGCTAAGGTACGCAGACGTTGGGGCGTAGTAAAAATGAAATTAGTTAAATTAGCATATTGAACGTTCTAAGCCGTAATATAGCAATTGACTACTACTCCTTTTGCTAAGATTGTGGATTCCACTTCCAGCCAACTAATTTTTTTTTCTATATTTTGATACTATTTATAAAAGTGTTTTAATTGAATACTTATTATTAGTTTCCTTTTTAATAAACTTAAATATAATATGTGTTATGTCTATTGTGTAGTTAAATTAATGTGACTGTGCTTAGGAATGTTAATACGTCCGCAAATTTAAATTAGGGCGCGTCACTGACCGATGTTTTGCGATAAAATGTATTTGGGATTAAGATTTTTCCTAATCTACAGACTGCGAACGAGAATAATTATTATAATTCGTAAATTAATATCCTTGACCACCTCTCTAGCTAAATGGTTAATTGTGTCACCTAGCATTGCGAAAAACGCGAGAGGTTCCGAGTCCCGGGGAAACAATAGATCGGGCAGGTGGGCACAGAGAACTTTGATTAACTATTTGCATGTAAATAAAACCAAATAGTGCAACACCCCACGGGAGGAAACGGGATGTTACTTAGGCTGTTTTGAAATAATAGATGAATATTTGAGTACAAAAGTGATTTTTAAGACATGTTTCTAGTTTATCATTTTTCGAGCGCGATCGAGGAGCTATCAACATCGCCTGATGATGCCGTCCGCTCGTATGCTGAACGATGGCCGTGAAAGCCTTACAAAGTTTATGTTTACAGTTTTCGAAGGCCGATTGTAACTATAATTCCCTAATGCTAATAATAATCTTTATTGATCCATCACATAATACCTTACATGACATTTTGCGATATATTAAATATCCCAAAAATATAATACCTACGACATACGATTGGTTCATTAAAAATACCTATCTATGTAGAAGCAGTTAATGAGTAATTAATCTGAAAATGTGTGAGAATGTTCACATGACATTTAAAATTGTGAACGTCACTTTCGTAAGCAAATACGTAAATCTTCATACTCGTAAATACAATAATTAAGGCCTAAGGTATTTGAATGAATTTGAATTAAAAAAAGTGTAAATTAAAAAATATTTCATTCCAAATACACATATATTTTTATAACATACAGTTTATATGCGCTGACGAACCATATTAGCTTCAAACAATAATAATAGAGCCACAAAGATTTAATAGATTTATATAAATATTATGAATAGAAATTTACAGTCATATTTTGAGTTTTCATTAAAAATATTAATAACGCTGGTTATGTTGAAATAGAAGATTAGGCAAAAGTTTTTTTATTTAACGTTTATTAGAAAGACAATGTACGTATATAACTTGACAACTATTATTGCTACGAAATATTATATTAGTGAAATTAAAATTTCATTTAACTTTCTTTAATTATGTACTTAGGATTCTAAACATCTAAGAACAATATTCACTAAATTACAAATACATACATTGTTAATGTCTAAGGTAGTACAAAAATTTCCACTTTTACATAATTTTATT